TGCCCTAGGGAGAGCCCAGTGAACATCTGGGTAGATGTGCTCACTGTAATTTACAGCACCATCAGTTTGTACTAGTTAAGAGACACTGGCAAAGGGCAGTAGAATAGAGTGGAGACAGTACAGTTTCAAAAGAAAAACAGGCTTAAGCAAGTGCAGGGACCAGAATTGGATCCTCAGCACCATATGCCCCATCGGCCCCACCCCCAGGCACGCTGAGCCAGTCACCAAAACCCAGCATGGTGGTGCACGCCTGTAATCCCAGAGCTGGGGAGGCTGAAAACAGGAGGAGCACTACAAGTCCAAGCTGTGTAGTGAGACCCTGTACCAAATATATTAAAAAATAAATAACATAAAGAAACGCAAGGCCGGGGAGATGGCTCAATAGACTAAGCACTTCCCTGGCAAGCGCAAGGACATGAGTTCAATCCCCAGTTCTGCCAAAAAAAAGGAACTGTGGTTTTTCAATCCCCGGTTCCGCAAAAAATAAATAAATAAATAAAAAAGAAACGCAAACTTTGATGAGTCCCTTCCTCTCTACCTACATCCCATTCTGTTCCTGGCTTCAGGGCCCTTCCTTATTCCTATAATCTTCTCAGCCTGTGCTTCCTCCACTTTACCTAGTTACATCAGAAAACAGTAATCAATACATAAACATTTAAAGGAACAGGAAAATGATTTAAAGGACCATGCTCCATAGCTTTGTATATCCATCATTTCTCTCAGGACCAGCTATTCAATTTGCAAGGCCTCTTGTTTAAAACTTGCAACAAGCCAGCATGGTAACACATACCCATAATTCCAGCATTTGGGAGGCTGAGGCAGGAGGATTAAAGGTTCAAGACCAGATTGGACTATATAACAAGACTAAACTTGAAAAAAGGTGATTTTTTTTCAGTAATTTCAAGACAGCAACAGCAGACCATTAAAGCAAGCATGGTGGGGCCAGGGAGATGGCTCAGTAGAATGAGCACTTCCCTGGCAAGCACAAGGGCCTGAGTTCAATCCCCGATTCCAGAAAAAAAAAAAAAAAAAAGAAAAGAAAACACTAAAGCAAGCATGGGTTTTTGAAGATCAAAGTACAGGGTTTGTTTTGAGAAAAGAAGGGCCGGGTGACAGAGTATGCGAAGAGATTTGCCATGCGCTATTTAAACTGAAAAGAAATAGTTCCCTACTTCTGAGAAACTCTAAAAAGCTCACTAGAGAAGAGTTTAGCATTATGTCCCAGGCACTTGTTATATGCTGAAGAAGCAAATGAAAACTAAGCTAAGCATGGCAGCATTCACCTGAAGTCCTTGCACTTGGGAGGCTGAGGCAGGAAGATCACAAATTCAAACCCAAGTGATTTAGTGAGAACCTGTCTCACAGAATTTTTTTTCTTTTAATGCGCTGGGTTCATCCACCAGTAAAACACACATACACACACTGAATAAAACTGACTTGATTTTAGACAAGATATCATATCTACATTTTGTACTATGAATAACTATTGTGAAGACAACAATATGGAATGCATTGATTGTTGCAACTGTCCCACTCACCTGTTATGAAACTGTCTCATTGCTATTTATTTCTCAATGAAATTAATATGAAAAAATACAAATGTAAAATCTTTGTCCTGAAAATAAAAATAAAGAAAGAAAATTTGGTTTTTATAAAAAAATAAAAAAATTTTAAAAACTGACTTGATGGAGTCAAGTAGTAAAAACATATAAACCATAAAAAACGACAATATGAAGATGGAGGAGTGATACAAATAGGATAAGGATAAGTTAGACCGAGTCTGGGGTTTAGTGACCTTCAGCAGGGACTGTTATGCTATGGCCCACTCCAAACAGACATTAGTACTCACCTTTCCATTAAAGCTGCTTTTGTCAATGTTCCTAATGTTGTCCACATTGCCAGTCAATGCTATTGCCTTTCTTAGTCTCAAAACACTTTCCTCTAAGGAACGGGGCTTTTAGGATTGTGCTTCAACCTCACTGGCTTTTTTTTTTTTCCCCCAGAACTGGAGATTGAACTCAGGTCCTTGCGCTTGCCAGGGAAGCACTTATTCTGCTGAGCCATCTCCCCGGCCCATCCTCACTGGCTTTTAAGTCTCATTTGATGATACCTTCTAAAGCCTCCTCTCCTCAAAGTGTTAGAGCATTGGTTCTCAAAGCATGCTCTGGGAATGCCTGACAACTTCTCTTGGAGCAAGGAGGTAAAAATTTGCGTAATAATACTGAAATACCACTTGCCCTTTCCACTACTGTTGGGTGGGTGTAAATTAAAGTGTTCCACAAACTACATAATGTATGTATGGCATCACATGGAATATAAAAACAGATTCAAGAACCTAGTCATCTTCTATTAAGCCAGACTTGGAGATTTGCAGACAGACCAATAACACTTCTCCTGGAATTTTATTCTTTTTTTTTTTTTTTTAATTTTATTTATTTATGTGTGTGTGTGTGTGTGTGTGTGGCCAGTTCAGCCCACCAGGGGGCGGGGCTGGCTGGCATGTGGTGCTGGGGGATTGAACCGCAGTCCCTGTGCTTTGCTAAACTTGTTCTAAGTAGGTGCTTTAGACCACTGAGCCATCTCACCAGCCCCTGGAATTTTATTCTTGTATTGACAATTTTATGTTTTATTCATTAAAGAAAACATTTTCTTCCAGTACTGAGGATTGAACCATAGCCTTCACATGGAACTGTATCGCCAGACCTGTGATTTTTTTTTTTTTTTAAAAGACAGGCTCTCAGTAAGTTGCTAAGCTTCCCTGGGTACAGGAGTCACAGGTGTGTACTACCATGCCTGGATTATATTTTTTTAAACATTTAATGGATTTGCTACTAGTATTTTTAATGAATAAATGAATATCTTGAAATTTACAATTTTTATTTCTGATACAGTAAATACTGACAGATAAAACTTAGATAAGTAAGAGCTCCTTGAGCTATTAAAATTTTTTAATAGTGCAAAGGAATCTTGATGGGTTGGCCAGATAGCTTGGGGGACTAAAGCACCTGCTTCGGCAGAGTACAGTGGCTGGGGTTAGATCCTCAGGGTGCTGTGCTGGCCCCACCCCCCCAGGGCATGCTGAGCCAGCTATTGAGACTGGGTGTCGTGGCACATGCCTGTAATCCCAGTGCTTGGGAGGCTGAAAACGGGAGAATCACTAGGCGTCCAAACTACATAGTGAGACCCTGTACACCTTATAGACCCTATCCTAAATTCAAAAAAATCCAAAGAAATATTGAGATTAAA